TTTATTTTCTATTTTACCATCTAATATATCATTTACTTTTCCTAAATACCCTTGTACTCGATCAATGTAAACTTTAGTAACGAAATATTCTGTTAACTATTTATTATTCTTAACTTACTAATTGATTTTCATAAGGATTGTTTTAGGTTCAAACCGCATCCCAATCAAAATTGACATAATTGTTAATATATATATATATATATATATATATATATATATATATATATATATATATATATATATGTGTGTGTGTGTGTGTGTGTGTGTGTGTGTGTGTGTGTGTGTGTGTGTGTGTGTGTTAGAGTGTTTTAAAAAATACAATATAAAATTTAACATAAATTTTGGTCAATTAAATAGAATCACACATTAGGTATTGATGAAACACTGCACCTAATTTACCTATATATTCAATACATATGAGAAACTATGTATATTATCATTGTCTTTTTGGGGAATGAGGATTTAGTTCTGTTTTTGAAGGTGCATTATGTTGGAAAAATAGCATTAAAGGTCGAGAAAGAATCACCTATGTAAGAGAGAAGTGAGGGTCGCTTCAAAGGAGAATTGTTGGGCACAATTCTTTAGAAACTCTCGCAGAACCAGGAACGGTGACCCACGACCAAAATGGGCACACTCATGAGAACAGAGCATGGTTGGGAGGTTCCTGTGTGAGATATGTCATCGTCTACACAAACGGCAGTCGGTTCAAAGACATCGCGTTCTACCGAACAGCCAGTAGAGTAAACATTTCTTCACAAGGGAAGGTTCAAAGGGTATAGTGACTCCCTACCTATCCTATGCAGGGATCGACCGTTTGAACACAGTTGTTTCCGATTTCAAAATACCCCGAAAATCAATTTTTCATTCATGTGGGGGATTGTTGGAAAAATAGCATTAAAATGGCATTTTAAGTGGCTATTTTGTGGTACAATTATCAGTGGGGTCCACTTCCGATTTGGGTCGGGTCAAAGTGGATTTGGGGGGGGGGGCAATCAAATTCCAACTAGACGAGATTGAAAAAGGCTTGATTCAAGCCCGAGCTCGTGTGCACCGGCACCTGCGGGCACGAATGTTGTCCGGAAATTGGCTGGCCTTGGGCATAAATTATGCCAACTTTCGGTATCAGTATTTCCAACGCACTAGCCACTTGGGTTCGGCCAAGACCGAGACGAGCTCGGTCCAGGCCAAACTGGACTATGGTTTCGGCTTGTGAGGCCGAAACTAATGTCTCGGCCTAGGGCCGAGACTTGGCCTAATGGCCGAAACTGATGTCTCGGCCTGGGGCCGAAAGTTTCGGCTTTGGAAAGCTGAACGTGGGATTAAATTCTTCAACTGCAGAATTAATTTTGGATTAATTCCAATTTCAATTTTGAATTTAAATCCCATGTAACGGTTTGTTGTTTCAGATGTTACAAAGCTAAGGTTAATGGCTTTGTTTAATGCTATAAAGTACTCCATCCCTATATAAGAAGGCTAGAAGATAGAAGCTTTTACACACCAAAACAAAAGCACAGAGCTCTACACGAAATTTGTTTTCAAGCTACAAAACACTTCTGCTTCTACTCCTTTCTTTGCCTAATTGTGTTCAAGGTTGTTGCTCTAGTTCGCCGGGTTCGTTCGGTTGGGTGCTCAAACGTCGAACCCTAGCGCGTTTTATCCTGGGAAACCTAGGACACGACGCTCCTAGCACTTTTGGGAGGTGGCAAATAAGATTTTAAGGAAAGAGTGGTCTCTTGACTCATGCTAAAAACCCTTACCCAAACACGAGCCATCATTTCCTTCTCTCGGTTTTGGATTATGCTTCTAAGCAAAATCCGTTCTCCATATTTGTTTTGCCATTGGATTGGACCTATAATCTGAGGATTATTTGTTCCTTTTTGGTTGATATATATTGGTATATCTTTTTCGTAGATATACATATATACACATAACCGTTGGATCCGTTTTATATATATTTGTGTGTATATATATATTTCGGATAAATATCAAACAATATTTTATATACTTGTGTGTGTATATATAAATATTATTTTACGATATTAAATCGATTTTGGTTCATTATCACCAACACATTACGCCAAGGTATTAAAATTGTATTGAAGCACACTAGCTAAGAGACTAGATCAAATCAAGAATTCATTTCTGGCAGAAGTGACAACAAGAGGAAGCATAGATCACGCCAATTAATAGGGTTTTGTGTTGCAAAAACTAAGCTTAGGGTACTATCCAGTGTGGGTGTTTTCCTCTAAAATTGCTATTGCACCAGTTAATCCAACATTTCTTCCATAGCTCATCCATAGTTATGCATTCATCAAATATTTACTTTTATGAAAAATTGATAATATTGCATTGATATATGTCAGGATACCGAATGATACTTTAATAATTATGAAACACTGATTTAAAAATACACATTGGACATCAGACTATTCACGCAATGCACTTGTTGTAATTAATTATTATTATACAAATATATTTTAATCTTTATATCACTTCTATCATTCTCATTCTCATTCTCATTCTCAATAATTCTATTTCTTCCTACCAAACAACATAATGTGAATTTCTATATCATTTAAACATTATTCTTTTTCTATTAAATTACAATTCTTTTCTCTCTAATTCTTTCTTTCCAATCAGACGCCACGTTAGGAATATTTGGGTAGGCTGTAGGCATGTGGCATTGGGGCCTCGTTTTGCTAGGCGTCGAAACGTGTCACGCAATAGACAAATGGCAAAAGAAATAGACATGAAAAGGGTGGTCCGCCCTCCAACATTATAGGGAGCTGAGGACTAACTGAACGCACCAGAATTAGTTACAGGTATAGTACATCCATTAAAATTAAGGGCTATACCCTCTTCGCTCAACACGTGGTATAGTATTATAAGTTGAGTTAATACCCAAAATCGTTCTGGTTTTTCTTAATTTCGTCCTAAACGACTTTGGTGATTTAATATCGTCTCAGACTTTTGTGTTTCTCTCAATTTAGTCCTCCATTTGTTATTCCGTCAAATTGGTGTTAAATTAAGGGACAATTCAGTAATGTCAATATTGATCTCTCTTTACTTTCAACTTGTGAAGTGCGAAATTCCTCTTTCTTGTACGAATTACACCCAGAATTACTCCCGGACCTGCAAATCAAATTTTATATTTGCAGTTTTAGGAGTAATTCTGGAAGTAATTCGTAAAAAAAAAAAAGGATTTCGCAGTTCACATGTATATGAGTAAAGAGATGTCAATATTTAAATTACTGAATTGTCTATTTATTTAACATCAAATGGACATAATAACAAATGATGGACTAAATTGAGCAAAAATACAAAAGTTTGGGACTAAATTGAGCAAAACACAAAAGTCTGGGACGATATTATTGGGTATTAACTCATCATAAGTTATAAGACAACGAAAGGTGGTCCTTCTTCCAACATTATTTAGTTTGGTATTATACTCCAGATTCGTCGGTACAATGTCATGTGTAACAAGGAAAACAAGTCACACTCCACAATATTTACTTTGGTAAATCAAATGATTTTTGCCACATTGATGAGTTTTAAAAAGGGAAAAAAAATATTCTTACTATATTCACTAAATTTTAATTTTATCGGGCATTTGGTTTCAATGACAAATTGAGGGAAATTTAATTATAATTTCATGTGAGATAAATAATTTAGGAACTTAAATTACATTGTTTAGTTGGTGGGAGTACTAGTAAAAATGTACATAATATATTAATGGAAGACACATAATTTTTGAATTAAGATGCATAATACAAGATAAACCTTTAGCAATTGGGGCAGCAAAAGATCCAATTATTACTCAGTAGGATACAATTCATGTGAGTGCAAGAATTATTTTGTTTTCCATAAGCTAGCAGTGCAAAACATGTGTATTTGGCAAGAAGCGCCATGCCTTTTCATCATCACTTTCTTGTCGTTTATTTGTTGCGAAAGTTGAATTTATGGGAGGATACATACATCATGTTAGTTTTGTTGAGTTTAATTTGCACATTTTAAATTATTGAAAATGATACATGAATTTTTATAGAATAAAATTATTCACGTATGGTAAAGATAATAAAAGTTATGAATCACTCTTTTTTTAGATGAATTAAAACATGACACGTAAGTATTGAATAAAAATTAAGAGTACGGAAGCATCCATATTAGTAAGGGTTTTGCACAATTTTTAAAGAAGCCATGTAAGAGAGAGACAAAAGTGGGAGAAAAAAAAAACAAAAACAAAAAAAAACAAAAAAAAAACAAAAAAACAAAACAAAAACAAAAAAACTGATGTTTCCTGGCGGCCACTCTGACGCGTCCCAGCAAAAGCGAGGTGCGCTTCAAACGTGCGAAATGTGCTTTTTTTTTTCTTTCTCCTGCAAAATTCATGTACTTGCAGGAGACAAATTTCTTCCAAAACCAGCTACCCTATCAATTTTTTTCTTGCCAAGCTAGTGTTTTCCCCGCAAAAAAAATCCAACAAAAACCACTAGTGTGAAAGCTCTTAGTCTTTGAAAATATGTGTTATAAAGGTGGAGTTGTAGATTTGCAATTTAGCGAAGTATGGTGGCCTAGGTTGGGACTTGGCGCAAATTATTCCGTGAATCCGAATCCAAATGTTTATAATTTATATACTAAATATTCACAATTTATTTTTAAAAAAATTCACAATTTGTATACTATGAACACATAATGTTTTTTTTCTTTAAATTTGAATCGAAGGGGTGACCCAAACGTACAACAGAGACCTAATCACTTGATAAAAAGTAAGACATTTGCAATTACATAAATAATATTATTATTTGAATGTCGCTCAAGCTACTAAGCTAGTTTGAGAATTTTATTTCTTCAAATTTCTTTTGTTTTTTTCCTAATGCAATTTAACTCTTTTATTTATCTTTTATTTAGTTTGCAAGCTATTAAAGAAGAACGGCATTTATTTAGTGCACATCTTCACGTAAAAGTTGTGATTTCCTCCTGAACGTAAATAAATAAATAAATAAAATCTTCAATAGTCTTTCATATTAACCACCATAACCTTTTGTCATTCCACAGTTAATCATCACATGTAAGTTTATCCTCAAAACCAAACAAAGAATATCCCTATCCCTATCCCTATCCTACCAACAAAAAGCTTGATATTGAATGCAAAATATGAAAAGGCTGGATTCTACTTTCTGGAGCTAAAAGCTCCAAAATTGTGTATGATTATTGCACTCTCTGGAGCAGCTTCTCCACCATAATCTTCTGCTGCACGGCGCTCAAAGACTCGGAATTCATGATAGCATTTGCGACAAGGATAGTTGTTGCAGGGGCGGGAGCATTTACCTACGACATCACAAACTATTTAGCATAAATGATGAAAGACCAAACAATGCAATGAATGCTAGAGGAGCACTTGTGTCGTACCCAATTACGCCCATTCAAACCAATTGCAATTTCAAAAGAGAGCTTCTTGCCAAGAGCTTCAAGAACAGGGCATGTCGGGGAACTCAAAAGTCTAAGGAAAAGGATAAAAGAAGGAATTAGGGAATCTGAATAACAACATATGAGATAGGATGCACGATATTCCTCCAAATTTCAGCAAGTGTGTTCATGTTTAAGTCAGAAAATTACGAAATAAATGGCCAAAAGAGATCTCACATCCGTGATAAGCCTGTTGATGATTCAAACATGTAACCCTCTTTAAGGGGACCAAACTCAGAAGCCTTTCCTGAAGCTACAGAAACAGGCAATTGTTTCAAACTCGAGGTTAAGCATTTAAAAATAGAAAGTTCAATAAATAGAAAGAATTCTTTAAGCTGAAGTGGAACTTACCATCCATGCATGACAGCTCAGGGTTCATTCCAGTGTTGGCCTTGACAACACGAGCATAAATCAGCGTTCCAGCCTGAAAACAACCATATGAATCTCAAAATAGCACCGATGATGATGTTGATAGTGTGTAGAAAACAGAGCAAATCCAGGACAATTTCACAATACTCTGCTGAATGAGCAAATCCAGGACAGGGTGATCTGGCTTCTTACACTAAGAAAATAAACATACTAAAAGGATTCACATGCATGTGAAAGAAATTCAACTTGCTGGGTGATCTGGTGCACCCCCACCCCCCCCCCCCCCCCTCCCACCCCTCCTCCTCTGGCCAAGCATCTACTTGCAGACTTGTAATCCTACAGCTTTTTTCACATGCATTTTAAAGAGAAGACATTGCCACACTTTAAGGAGCTACAAAAGTCCATGAATTAGGACCAAACTGTTGTTGAAAAGAAGAGAGGAAGAAAATACCGAAATTGAACATTCTGTCCATTCCAACCACACTGTTGGATGAAAAACTTTATCCTTAGCTCATTATTCTCACAGATCCTTGGGGCCTCAAACTGCATTTAGCTCATTCTTGAAACTACCCTCCCCACCCACTAAACTTTGCAGATTTAGACTCTTGAGCATCATTTTGCAATCCCTTGAACTATAGATGAACCATATTCCAGATGTGGAACTGGTTCGAGTTTATATCATGTAAATGGGTTACTCAAAATTTCAAAACCACAAAGGCTGGGTTGGTAGAAGCAAAATTTGTAAAAGCCAGTCAAAATATATGAAAACATTGAATTGAGCCATAAAATGAAACCAACAGCATGCCATAATCCATAAGCATTTAAAGGAAGAAAGTACCTCAAATTTTGGAATGTTTCTTCTCGTTCCTCCTTCAAATGCTAGAACGGGCAAAAATGCCAACATTGACCCTTTAATGTCTACAAGAAAGTTCTGTCACCAAAAAGAAAAAATAAGCATAAATCTTGAAATATGTACATGAAGGTTCAAAATAAGTCATGCAAACAAATTGAAAGTTCAAGTAAAAATACAGAGCCTACAAAAATACAAAACAGAAGAACTAGACTTAGTTTGAGACAATGATAAAAACAGGTTGAGGTTAACAAAAATAGATACGAAAACATTAATGGTTGAACTGCAGCACCGCATATCTATAGCCGTTTGAACCAGGGGAACCAGTGAAGCACATATCATATGAATAACACAAAAATATAGTAGGGGGGCAAAATTTTCTAAAGCGATGAATTATAGGCTTGTGCTATAAAACCAATGTGAGATGTTTAATAGTCCTTTTAACAACATAACCGAAAAAGTGAAAATTATAAAGGACAATTCAAAAATGATTTAGAATTAGAAACAATCACCATCAAAAGATTCAAATTGTAAAAGAAAATGAAAATACAGAAGAGATTTTGATATTCATTACAAAATCAAGTGGAGGTTCTCATTTTTATAACACACACAGATGTATTTGTGTGTATATTATTATTTCTGTTTTATAAGTGAAACTGGATCAGGGGATGACATCTATAGGAATAATAAGGGAAGGAGATATTGTACACTCATATAGAATCTCTGGCATTTAATTATTGAGAATCAAAATACTCATTCTCCTATTAGTTTTAAAATTTTTAATCAAATTATTGCTCAAAATGGCATGACAAAAATTTGCTTACATTAAATCTCCTTAAAGACAATAAGAGCTTTAAATACCTAGTAGGTAGTTAAGTTCCCTATTCCCAAGTATAAAGCTCATAAAAATATTACCACATTAGAACATTCTCAGTATCAAATTTGATGTACATAAATTACTCACATCTGGTTTAGTGTCGACCACGATTCCAAGAACTGAATCTCCCGCACTAGGAACATACTGTAAAGAGTATCATGATTGATAAGAAAAACTTGCATAGTATCTATAAGTGAAATACCATCATATTAAATATTTTCATAGAAGTAAATAAAAAAATAAACATAGAAAGAACCAAATAAAGTCTTAAGGAAAAATCCAGATACAAGACTTAGGGAACATTAAAAATTAAAAAATAGGACCCCTGTGATAAAGATCACAAGTAGCAATTAAAGAGACTCATAAAATGCTTCTTGCCCCTCCTAAATTCCCTCCATGACATGTCTTATAATCATTGGGTGCCATGAATTGGCTGACCCCATCAACTTTTAATGAAAAAGTAAACAATCAAACAGTGCCATGTCAGGAGGGAAATTATGAGGGGAAAATTATATAGGGGTGAATAGCAATACTCATAACAAAATATCAATCACACCTTGATTTTAACATGGTAAATCAATACTCAATAGCTGCAACCAACTAACAATTTTCAATCACTTTCTATTATTATAAATTAGTTTTCACACTAAGTTTGAGCCTTAGCAATACTAAGCACAAGAGAACAATTTGAATTTTGAAATGAATTAAAAGCAATACTAAGCACAAGAGAACAATTTGAATTTTGAAATGAATTAAAAGCAATACTAAGCACAAGAGAACAATTTGAATTTTGAAATGAATTAAAAGCAATACTAAGCACAAGAGAACATTAAGCACAAAACCTTGAACTTATCACAAATACCATATCAAAATCATTTGTTGTTCAGTGTTCTAAGCAATTTAAAGCATCATACTCACTCTTTTTTGTGAGCTTTCAACCCAGTATTTATTTGGCTTTGTATATCTCAAAATCCCAGCTTTCATGACAGATACAGTATCACAATCCTGCAAAAATAAAAAATACAAAAATACAAAAATAAAATAAATATCAACTAAATTTCTGCACAAATCCAATTGTTTATATTTCTGTAATTCTTTTTCTATCCTATACTTCTTCCATTTAGTAATAGGGCCATACTATTTAGTGTATCTCATTCATCACTGAAATTTTAGAAATGCACAAGAACATCATGACCAGTCTGAAGAGTATATGTATAAGTCTTTAAAAGCCCAGAACACCAGTGATTGAACATAATTAAGCATTAAACCCAGTTTAGTTTGGCTTAACTACATGGACTCTATTTAACCATCAATTCGTTTAAGTGATAAATCCATCATAACCTCTTGCATATCTTCCTTAACTTCCTTGATATAAATATTAACTTAAGGATCCAAGATTGGAGCATTTTCCATCAGAAAGTATCACATAAAGCAGCAAACTAACAAAAATAAATCACATCACACGCAAGGAGTACTTAGCAGATTGATAAAACACAAGGAGTGGTATATCCTTGCTGCTTGTGAAGAGAATTTATGTAGTGCTTTCATATTATTACTTCTAATCCATTATTCTAATTGTTGATTAATATAAACTTTGCACTTAAATTATATAATTAAAAAATGTGAAAGAAAAGAACAGTAAATTTTAGTGAAGGAGTGAAAACCTGTCGAAGGCCACCCCCAAGCTTTATGGTTTCGTTAGCCAGTGAAGAAAGATCCAATATCACATCACCTGGGACCTTAATAAGAATTTAAAACATAAATTCATGATTTGCATTTTTGAATATAAACACACTCGCCAAAAAAAAAAAAAAAAAAAAAAAAAAAAAAAAAACATCTCTAAGAAACCCAAAGTAGTAATTCTACTTACTACTGGTTGGTCGATGAAGCTTGAGAGAGTATTTGGTTGTTTAGCTTCCATTTTCATTTTTCATCAAGAAATGATAAACCCTAAATTTGTATTTGGGGGGTTTTTGGAGTACGCAAGGATTAGGTTTGGTTCTAAAATAGGTTGAGGTGCTAAGTGCTTAACTCAGAATCCTGCAAAAACAAAAGGGAGAGTATATCTCAATGCCGTAAAAACTACAATCTTTATAGAAATCGTGTTTAATATAAACATATTTTAGCTTTGAAACAATATATTCTGTGAGTACCAGTCGCTTGTGCTAGCCACTGAGTGAGCCGTGAGCCTTCAGGTTTGAGGAGACTGTCGGCTGCTATTAGAGTGACAAACTGAGAGGTCAGCCGGCTCGCCGCGCCGGAGAAGACTGCCGCCTGCTGGCTGGCTGCGACGGCGTGGGAGACTGAGAGACGGAGAGGAGTTGACAGAAGACACTAATCGCCGAGTCTGAGAGGAAGGGACAAGGGCATTCAAAAATTGTTTAGGGCTGGGTATTTAATTTAATTGTTAATAAAATAAAATCGCTTTAAATTTTGATTTATGTTATATCCCAAATATAGTAAAACGAGAAAGAATAGCTCAATAGTTCAATATGCATTATATAGGGGTAATTTATATCTTGCAAAAAGACGTTGTTTTAGATTTTTTTTTTTTTTTTTAAATTTTGCTACCCCGTGTTTGGCAGTTAATTTTTCTTTAAAAAAAAAAATTCATATTCAAAAATGTACATAATGTTATACATGAATGTACATAATTGTATAACAAAATATACATACTGTTTTTTAAAAAGATAATACACATAATCTAACATAATACATAATAAACATAAACTTTTAACATAATACACATAAACTCTTAATATAATACACAAAAATTTCTTGATTCGGATGTACATAATTGTATAAAAAAAATGTACATAATTGTATAAAAAAAAATGTATATAATTGTATAAAAAATGTACATAATAAAAAATATACATAATTGTATGAACAAATATACATAATCACAACAACTTCCTACCGCGCCTCCCAAAACGACGTCGTTTTGGGAGGCGCGCGGCGCACAGTGCTACGTGTGCCGTGGTGTAGTGTATAACGATTGGTATATGGGAGAAGAGACCAAAGTTTGAATCTTGACGGTCATAGTGTGGGGATTCTGTGTGCATCGACATTTGACTCTGTCTGTTGAACCATTGAGTCACCGTTCCATCCACGTTAAAATCATATTGACGTGACGGTTACCGAATTTTAAAATATATTTTTTTAATTTTATTTTAATAAAATTAAATAATTATTTAAAAAACAATCTGAGAAGGTAACCTAGTGAGTCCCAATGAGCCGCCTTCTCCAGTGAGGAGGCAGCAGGTCGCCTTCTCACAAGAGAAGGCACCCCGGTTGCCTTATCTAGTGAGAAGGCGACTTATTGGGTTGCCTACCCCGGTGTGAAGGCGAGAGTTTTTTTTAAAAAACAAAATAAATAATTATTTAATTTAAATTTTTAAAAATAAAATTAAAAAAATTACAAAATATATTTTAAAATTCAGCAACCGCCACATCAGCATGTTACTAGGTCAATAAGTCATTTTAGGTTGAATTGCATTATTTTACATTTGATACTGCTAATTATACGTAGGCAATATAAAATAACACGAGACCAATTAAAGCAAGTAAAATCTCTATTGATCACGGTAAAGGCCCTAAGTACAATCTACTTGGCTGCTTTGAGTACCGACTGAGTGCGGTCGGGATTCTCTAGCAACAACCTATCGATCGTCCAAAAGTCCCTTACACTGTAGCTACTGTGGGTATTTATAGCCGCTATGCCGGGGACAGGATTCCAGCCGTTCGGCATGTCCTCCACGTAGCCACCACGTGTCATCCTCCCGGGTGCCCTGCCTGTCGATGTAAAGAGCCGCCACGTGTCCTTCGTCAGCTCTTTCGCCAAAGGGCTACCGCTCGGTGGTCGACACCGTCGCTCGGGCAACTCCGGTCGGTCTACGACCGGGTTCTTCTCGTGGAGCCCGACCTGTTACCTGCAAAGACAAGGAGAAAGAGACAAAAGGCTCCTCGGTCGTGGTGAACTTATGTCGGTCGGGATATTCCCTACCAACATTGTTTGGAAACTTAATTGTAATTTTTTAAATTCAATGACTCAATTACATTTTATTGTGTAGTTGAATGACATATTTGACCCTTATTCTAAAAAATATATAACTATCCTTTAACTAATAATTACAATAATGCATGAACATCTCTATGTAGATGTAAGAAACATAAATTTCAACCTTTTGATAGAAGAAACATAAATTTCAAAGGGCATTATAGAGATAGAGATCCTAGTCTAAAAGATTGGGTAATTGAGTTCATGTCCACTTGAGCTCCAAATTATTGTATTCTCTATAACACTACTCTTTGACTAATTACCATATGAATGAATTCTTATGTGACTCATTAAGAACCTTGGTAAGAAAAATTTAATGGGAAAAATAACTATACTGAAGAGGGAAGAAAAAAAAAAGTAAACGCTCAAATCTTTTGTGCTTAAATGATACCTCAAAAAATTATGAATATGGATCAATATCTATTTTAATATTATTTTTAAATAAAAAATACGCAATTATTTGAAACTCGATTATCTTTCTTCATTTTAACGTACAAGTTATTCTCGTAAAAAGTGATAATAAATTGAATGGTGTGATCATGTATGTGCATTGAACCATGTCAGTTCGAAAATTCAAAATTTTGAGTGTTACTTTTTGAGTTTTAAATTCAAATTATATGAACAATATCCATATATGACAATGGGTAAAATAATACGGAGTATTTGTTACATGAACCCTAATAGGATGAGTTTGGATAGTTGATGGTCCAGTTTGAAACGAATTTGAGTAGTTGTGAAATTTCTGTGCCCAATACTTAATTGTGTGTGTACCAGCATGCGAGTGTATTAAATAGGTTTTGGTGTGATTTCGAGTACTACATGGGTAGTGTCAAACGTGATTGAAATTGGTACATGTAATATTCATTTATGCTCAAGTAGTTCTAATTTCTAAATGTATTTTGATTTAAATTTGAAAATGGTTAAATAGAAAATTACATACCTATTGTCATTTCTAATAGCCATGGATAGAGTAAAAACTTAAATCATTATACGTAGTCATAGTGGTGAATATATAAATCGTATAAATAATAGTGGTGATGATAAGATAAGTAGATATAGGTGGTGACAGAGTAGGTAGGTGGTGGTAGATTTGGTTGGGTAGATGATATGAGTAGACAGACAAAGGGCTTGTTTGGTTATTAGCGGTTAGCGATTAGCGGTAGCGGGTTGTGTTAGCGGTTATCAGATAGCGGATTGTATTTGCAAGTTTGACCAGCAGATTATATTAGCGGTTTATAAAAAAAGTGTTTGGTAAAATTAGTTGTTTAGATTACCGGTTAACATGTAAAATGACCATAAAGGTATACATTATAATTTATAATTTATAATAATAATAATAATAATAATAATAATAATAATAATAATAATAATTTTTAAAAAATAAAGAAAAAAAAAAAAAAAAAAAAAAAAAAGGGAGCAGCGCTGCTCCCCTCTTGTATTCCCACTTTTCCCACAGTCCCACATCGGTGAGAAAAGTGAGAATGGAGCCTTGAGGCTCTTATTTAAGGAGCCTCAAGGCTCCACAAATTCGTTGCCCATCCCAGATGGGCAACGTTGAGGAGCCGTTTTGGCTCCCCAAATTGAGGAGCCATTTCGGCTCCTCAAAATTAGTTTTAAGTTTTTTTTTTTTAAAAAAAAAAATATAAACAGGGGCGTTTTGGGGAAAATTAAATTTTCCCCAAAACGCCAACTTGCAAAAGCAGCGGTTTGGAGCAAATCGCTGCTAACCAAACGGTTTTTTTTTTTGGCGGTTTGACCAAAAATAACGGATTCGCCAATAATCAAACATGGCCGAAACCTTGTTTGGCAATTGGCGTTTAGCGATTAGCGGTTTGCGGATTGTGTTAGTGGTTTTGACCAATGGATTGTTTTAGTTGATTATAGGAAGATGTTTGGTAAAATTAATTGTTTATGATTAACGATTAACATGTCAAAAGACATATATGGACATGTGTATATTTTACTCACTCTACCCATTTTGTATGTCATGTTTATTATTCATTGGTCAAATTAACTCTTTCTTCTTTGTTTTTTTTTTAGTAATTTTTAATTATTTTTAAATTTGACTTTTTATGTTTAATAATACTTTTACTAAGCATTGCCTAATCCAACTTTTGTCCAGATTATTCATATGCGGGTTATGTTGTAAGGCATTGTCAGAATCTCAAACGACACTTTGAATCAGTGTTTATCAAGTATGTTTCTCGATCAGTGAACAAGTGTGCTCATGCATTAGCTAGGGCTGCGAGTTCTCAGTCTGGTCATATTAGTTGGTTTTCATATATTCCTTTGAATGAAGTTAATATTATTGCTTTGGTTTTCAAAATAAAAAATAAAAAATCACTAAAGGTCCTCCGAGTTTGAGGCATTACCAGTTTTGGTTCTCAATTTACAAGCCTACCACAATAAGTGTTGGAAAAATTAGCTTAAAATGGCATATTAAGTGGCTATTTTGTGGTACAATTATCAGTGGGGTCTACTTCCGATTTGGGTCGGGTCAAAGTGGATTCAGATTCTTCGTAGTAAGACGAAGAGATTGATATATTGTACGCTCAAAACGGATAATGAGTGAATGAGATATTGATTCTCAAAGTAGACCCATTTAAGTTGGGAAATGAAGGGAAAATGTAGGACTTTGTCCCACATTGGTTTGGAAACAAGATTTGCCCCCCTTATATACATGAGCTCTTTTCAAGCTTGTAGAATTGTATAGCATAGAGGCTCTCTCGCGAGGCGGGGGGGGGGGGGGGGTGCAAATCAAAATCCAACTAGAGGGCATCGAAAAGGCTTGATTCAAGCCCAAGCTCGCGTGCGCCGGCACCTGCGGGCTAAGTTATGCCTAACTTCGGTATCATTTTCCATCTGATATAGTCACTTGGTTCGGCCAAAACCGCACCGAGAGCACCTACTCTCGTGTGTAGCACGAGAGGTTGTGGTGCACCGAGAGCACAACTCTCGTGCATCTGTGACCACGAGAGATGTACTCTCGTGTTGCCTGGTCCATGTGCTCTCGTGTGAACCTGCACCCCAACGGTCTGAAACCCGAAAGTTCAGCCTGTTGTACAAATTAAACTCATCTGTTACGGAATTAATACTGTTTTAATTCCAATTTTAAATTCTGAGTTTAATCCTACTTAGTGGTGACCGTTACAGGTGTTATACAATTGGTTTAATACCAATTAAAGGCCATGTTGAATGCTATCCTCTCCAACATCCCTATATAAAGAGAGGTAGAGCAGTAGCATTTTTACACAGAACGAAACTAAGGAATTCCAGTATACTTTGCTTCAAAACTTCTGCTTCTACTCTCTTCTTTAGCCAACCAGTGTTCTAAGCTTTGCTTTGTTTGCCGGGTTCCTTGTTTAGGTGCTTAAACAAGGAATCGTAGCACGTTTTATCCTGGGAAACCTAGGCTACAACGCTCCTAACACTTGTGGGAGGTAGCAAATAAGGTTTTAAGGAAAAGAACATTGTGTTCGAACTCGTGCTAAACCTATATCCAAACACTCCACCTTTTCCTTCCCAGTTTTCTGTTTTTCCCATATAATATTAATCTTTCCGTAGGATTATTATTATTTTGGGATTTTCCACCTTATTACCCAACAATAAGTTCTCCAACTTCTCTAAAGTTACCACTAAAAAGGTCCTCTATGTTTGAGGCACTACCAGCTTTGGTCTTCAACTTACAAGCCTACCACAATATAAATCCTCCAACTTCTCTAAATATACCTCTAATAGTCCTTCGTTGAGATTTTTTTTTTTTTCTTTCTAAAAGTATAGTGAAATTGAAGGACAAAGTAGTAATATCCACTTTTTTCCACTTAATATAAAGATAATCTTAAAATCAAAATCTACAAGGAGATTGAGAGAATTGTTTGAAATTGTCTGCATGGGAAAGTAATTATTTTTTTGTCTGTCAACAAAACATAAATATTTTTTTTTCCAATAGATATATGTAATTTATATCAACAATTAGATAATTTTTTTACACGTTTTTTATATTTTAATAAGTATGACTGCATGAGAATGATAATTTCCATGTGAGCTAACTTCTTCAATTCCTAGAATCTAAACACAATTGATGATTTATTGAGATTGATTTCGTGCTCAGAAGGTTTGGCATAGCAATCCAAAATTTCTTTAGGTGCAATTGCCTCACTTTTATTTGCCTTAGGAGTGACATTAGACCATTTTTGCCCCAATTATGACATCTCATATGATGATGTATTTCATGGAGAATCAAAACATTATTTGTAATTTGTCTATCCGACACAAAAACTATTCGAGACTTAGAGATAAGGGTCAGTAATTTTTTTTTTTTTTTTTTTTTTGTTCTATTGGCAATCACTTTAGCAACAATTTTGTAGACTACAATGCATATGCTAATTGGTTTAAATTGACAAAAGTATCAGATTGAGCACATTTAGGGATGAGAACAATGAGTATAGTCAAGTTTTCTAAGAAAATTAGCATTGTTAAGAAAATCTAAAATACAATAAGTGACGTAAGATCCATCAATGTTCCAAATTTTTTAAAGGATAAAACAATAACACCATATAATCTAAGGAATTTATAGGAAGACATTTAGAAAAGACGTCACTGACATTTGAATAAGTAAAAAGGCGAGACAATAACTCATTCATTCTTATAGACATCCTTCTTCCAATGACATTAAAAATTTCCTCTAAATTTCTACATTTGAATTTATAAATTTGAATAGAGACCAAAATTACTCAACAACCATTTAATCCATCCCCTCCTAACCATGCATCCAATTACACTACTCCCTTTGATTTCTCCAATTGTTCTACCTTTAGCCCTAGCATGAAAGAATTGTGTATTTCTACCCCTTGTTTAAGCCAACGAACTTTTTTTGCTCTTTATTTCCACATCATTTCCTCATCTAGAATCTTTTCAAGCTCTTTATTCAAAGCATGCATCTCTTTAATTTGTTTTGTGATGATAAGATCTTCCTCATAGGTATTGATTTTTTTAAAGTTTATTCTCAATTCTCTTCCTCTTTTCCACTAGGTACACAAAATTCTTTTATTCCACCTGTAACTCTACCCTTCGTGATTTTTTCCCAAACTACCTGTGCAACAAAGTTAATGACAGGAACTGACAAGAGACTATTTGAGCGACTTGTGATTTACCTCTTTTAACAACTCTTGGAGACTTAAATTAATCTAGTATAAATTGAAAATCTAATGTATCATTTAAAAAAAAAAAAAAAAGTGACAGGTACAGCCTAGAATGACAACTGTTTACACTCAAAACTCCACCAACCTCAATTGATGAGTTGATCATTCAATCATTGTGGTGGTTGCCTTTGCATTTCATACTCGCAGGTCCTACATTTCATTTTCATTGTACCATAAGCTCCAACTCTATATATTCTCTTCTGCCAATTGTTATACCAAGGATCAGGATTCATATTGCATTCTGAATCCTGATACAAATTCTGTATCTTTAGTTAATACATTATGTACTTGTAATTAACAGTTTTTGTACATATAAACAAATAACTTGATAATTGCTGACATATAATATAATAGCTACAGGTACAAAAACGATCAACTACAGGTACAGAATGTATCAACTATAGACCAGGATCTACAATGCAAGGTAGACTCTCTGCCATGAAATAATTTGCCCTCTTCTGCAGTGTCCAAACTCTTTGAATCATGGAGTTGGTGGATAATAAACTTTCTTTTACAATGATATACAAATGTTACACCTTGTAAGAATACATTCATATGAAAAAAAAAAAAAAAACAAGACAACTTGTGATAAATATATCGTAAAATAAATCACATCTCAATGCAGCCCCATGTTTAAATCACACCCATAATAATAATTAAAAAAGAAAAAAAAAAAAAAAAAGAAATCTTCATCTATACCCCTTTTCTGTTTTGTATGTTTTCTTGACAGAACCAATATGCCATTCCATATACAAACATTGTGATCAAACCTGTATGCCATTGTTATTCACAGTAGTACTAGGACGATGATTGACATCGAGCAGATTCTCTAGCGATCTCGCTTTTCTATTCCGAACCCTCCCCGCCTCCTTTAGTAGCTCTGCCAGCCTCTTCTTTTCATCGTCCACATCTGGATTAGCCGTTCCTAGCTTTTCCTCTCGCACATTCACAATAAATTCCAAGATTTCAATCGCATCGTCCAGCCTGCATACCACCATTTACTCACTCAACACGCTAAATATTTCGGTTGATCAATATATATTTCTAAAGTATTCTTTTGCATCCCGTAAAAACTTATACTGAGTATATGTAACGAGAATTGAAGATGTGTGTGTGTGTATAAAGAGGGCTAGCAATCAAAGTGTGAAGCGACAAATAGGTTACGCAATATTCCTAGGGGTAAAGTAAGACCAAACATTAATGGCATGTTTGGTTAATGGAATAGGTCAGGAATGGAATAACATTCCTTGGAAGGTTTGGTCATTTTGTCATAGGAATAATATTCCTAGGAATGAGCTATTACCTGGGGAATAGCCATTTCCAGGGGGCCTTGGTATTAGCTATTCCCGTGCTCTTGGGAATAGGTTTTATATCACAAATACCAAAAATACCCTTTGCATACCTGCCAACAGCATCATATGTGCCCGCGAGGTTGCTGTACACCCCTAATGTCTCGGGGTGATAAGGCCCGTATTCTTGCTCCAAAATGCCCCGTGCTTCTTCGAACAAGTCTACAGCCTCGTTTATGGCATAACGCTGTATACAAGCGAGCCCCATTTGGTTGAGAGCGATTCCAAAGAATGCAGATTTCTTTTCCCCACTGGCACGAAGCTTTGAAATCCCGCTTTTGAAAGAGTTATAGGAGTCGGAGTATCGCCCCAACATGTAATAGATTACGCCCATCTGGGCTTCAATGCCAGCAATAGTACTCTGCTGACCGGGGGCGTCGTTGTAAATCTTTAAAGCCTTCTGCAGTAGCTTCAACGCCTGCTCGAGCTCGTTCATCGATTCGTAAATAGCAGAAACATCAGTAAGACCGCTGGCAATCTCTTCTGGGGCGACACCCGGTAATGGTTTTCCATAGATTCGAAGGGCGTTTTCGCAATAGGATTTTGATTCCCGCAGTTTACCGGTCCGGTTATACAAGTCAGCCAGACGGACGAAAACCGAAGCAACAGATGGGTGAGTTTCTCCTTTGCCAGACTTGAGAGCTGTGAGTGCCTTCTGATACGCGAAAATGGCTTCGTCGTAGCGGTTTAGCGATAAATAAGTGTCTCCGATACTGCAATCGACAGATGCCACCTCGGTTTCCTGCCCGTTGGCCACCATGGCCATGCTTGCCAAAACGAGATGCTCGAGAGCAGCCTCGTGGTCTCCCTTCGACTCGCAAATTAACCCCATCAGCCTCCTATCTGCTGCCTCCTCGAGGGAAGGAGGTGAGCCGTTATCCCGGTGCATGTCCAGAGCCATCTGGCAAAGTTTCTCAGCCTCGTCAAATTGCAACGCCTGAACGTGAGCTTCTGCCAGGTACCTGCACGTTTCGCCAACTCTCGGGTCGTTATCCCCGAGAACTTGTCTTTGGATTCCCAAACCTGTCGTATAACAAATAATCGAGTTCTCGACTTGGCCCAACATTGCATAAGTGTCACCCAACTGCATATATCCAGCGAATTTAGCCAGGGCGTGATCTTGGCCTTCCTCGATCACGGGGATCTCGATCGAGTTTTCCAGAATGGGAATAGCATCACCGTACTGGCCTAAATTACAGTGTATAGCTGCTGTGACATGCAAGCACATGACCACATCCAAGCTGGGCTTCCCGTCAGCACATTTTTCAAACGACTTGGCAGCTCGAAGAGCTAAATCGAGAGCTCTACGAGGGTTATCCCCGGAAGAAATCAAATCCCTTGCTTGCTTGAGCAAGAACGGTCCAAGATCGGGATTTTCTACACCCGAATCAGACATATCCTCAGTACCCTTCTTTTTATTCAAAGAGGAAACTCCCCTAGCTGGTTTTCTTTTTTCGCTCTGCTTATCTACTGAAGGTTTCCCCGGAGGGCTTTTGCCTTTCGGACTTGATTTCCCCGAAGCATCGGACTCCAACTGCGATTGAGAAGCTTTCTTCGATTTCCCCGACGGGGGAGTTTTGCTGGTTGAAGATTCGGAATTGCCCAACGCTGTAGTAGAAGAACTCTCCTTCTTAGAACCAGAATCACTACGGGAATCATCATTCCCATTCCCGGGCCTCTGCAACTCCTCGTCCTCCTCCATTATCTCCACTTCCCTCATCTCCCCTCCCACGAGATGCCGCAACTCCGAATCTATTCTCGACTCATCCCCATCAGACCCGTAACTCTGCCTCGATGGCGAATGCTCAGAGCTCTGCATCTCGCACACATTATCATAGAGCTCCTCAATAGATTTCTCGGCCACCCCATTCCCCGTATAGCCCGTTCCCCCATTCCGAGGGCTTTGAGATGCCAAACCATTCCTCGGAGACCCATTCACAACTAAATCGTCATTATGAACTCCAGAATTCTCATTCTCATTCTCCTTCAATTCACTATCCTCCCTATCTTCATGAATCTCATCCACAACAACTCCAGGCATCTTTTAGCACCCACAGCAAGAAAAACCCCCAATAAATTAAATAACTTATCTGCAACCATTTGGTAAAGAAAACACAATCTTAGAGAGCTAAAAGTTCAACCTTTCCATACCCACAAACTCTGCCAAGAAAATCCAGAAACAGATCTAGTACATATCATATGATGCATATATCTTGTGTACCCTATTCACCTTGACAGAAAAAGTTTGACCTTTAAAGCATTAAATAGACAAATTACTCCTACAGATTTGTCCACACATGAGAAAATAACAGTAACAGGAGCAATACAACAGCAAAATTCAATCTTTTAAATCAGGAAAAAAAGGGCATGAAAATTCAAACATTAAAATAGAAAATAGTTAAACAGATCTTAGCACATTAAGTAACAATATCTACAGAAGCAAAACCCCATCAGAAACAGAAACAGAACCAGAAAGTACAAGTCAATGAACAAGAAAATGCAAGAAAATGAAAGGGTATGATACTATGATGGGAAACAACAAAAAGAAAATTTATTTAGCTGAGAAACAGAAAAAAGGGTAAAGCATACCTGATAAAGAACCCACTGGAGGGGGCAAGAACAATGGCTGAATAAGTTTAGGTGTTATATAGAGAGGAAAAAGGAAAATACAAGAAGGGGGATGGGGGTGGGGGGGAGGTAAGTAGGGGGGTGGGTGGGTGGAGAGAATGGAAGGTGGGGTGAATCTATCCTTTTGGTGGGTCTGCAGAAGTGCAGAGTGCCTCTAAACATACAAACTTACAAAGAGAAACAGTCATGGTGGGGACAAAGAGGATGTGAACCGAATTTTGAGAAAAGAGTGAGGGCAAAGTGGGAAATAACAGTTAATATAATGTATTTTGCGGTGGAATGTCAGAGTTAAAAGAGATGGCGACTTTTCCCCAACCTTTGCCTCCGTTCCAGCAACGCCTCCTCTGGCAATACTTCCAAGCATGGTTGGTAGACTCCTGAAATGACATTCTTGCCCTTGCCATATCTCTGGAATCACATTTCACTATATTCAGTGTGATAGCTTTTTAATTAGTGAATGAGATTTCTCATTGAAAAGATAATCAAATCTTATAGTTGTGTTTTAAAAAATTATTAATCAAACACTAACCATGATTTTGATTCTCATTCTTAATGTGTAAATCCATTAACCAAATACACCCTTACTTCTTTTCTATTCTCAAGTAAATCAAATATTACAATAGAAATTCCTAGTGTGAGGATTACGTCCAAAGTGGACAAATCACTTATGTGCACCAATATTTGGCTTTGTCTGTTGAGCTGTTAAGTCACATTGATTTACATCTTCTCAAATGTTATGTCAAGCCGGGATATGTGAGGGGGGCTTGGGGTTGGGTATTCAGTCTTTTTGGAGAAGAAGAAATTCCTAGTAATTTTATTCTCACCAATCAAATAATATAATTTGAACTTACACATTATTCATCTCATATGAAATTATAATTTTTTTTTTCTTTCTAATTCTCTCATTGGAACCAAATGCCTCATTAGTCTCAAATTTTCTTTGTTCAAATCGATTAAATTTTATCCAGATTATTTAATGTTAGATTTATTTTTTTAGAGTTAATTTCATTTTGGTCCTATGATATTGTGGTGTTGTCAATTTCAGTCCACAACTTTTAAAATTGACAATTTAGTACAATAACTATTCAATTTTATCAATTTTAGTCAGTCCAGCCAAATTACCGGCAAGTTGTCGCCAATTTTTATCTACATCCCATCTGCATTTGTATTAATTCAAACAATAGTTTACAAATTTGTTTCCATTTTTACTTTGAATTAAAATATTATGACGATAATTGACTGATAATTTGGCTGAATTGACTAAAATTGATAAATAAAAAAAAATTGAATAGTTACGATAATAAATTATTAATTTTAAAAGTTGTGGACTCAAATTGACAATACTCTAACAAAAAGTGAAATTAACTCCTTTTTTAATATATAATTACGGAATCAAACTCTTTCAATATCTGTTATTTTATTTATCAAAATTTAAATTCAAAAAATAAAAATGTTTAACAACTAAACTATTTCCACTTGATTAAATAGCACGGCTACTCAGATATCATTGTCTACACAGACTGTCAGTCTATTTGTTTACTTTTACAGCATAACACTTTAGTTCGTTCGTATGTTGGTCTTGTTATTCAGTCTTGTGCCCAGTTAGTTAGTTCTATTTCAGATTGTTTTGTTAGCTTTGTTCGTAAGGAGGCCAATCAGGCTGTCCATTTTTTGGCTAAGGCTGAGGGTGCTATTACCACTCGCTCTGTATGGACGGATGCTCCGCCACCTTTCTTGAACCAGTTGGTGATATAATATATTGCTTCGTTGGTTTTCAAAAAAAAAAAAAAAAAAAAAAAAAAAAAAAAAAAAAAAACTATTTCCACTCTTACCACGAATTTTATTAAAAGCAAAAAATAAAATGAAAACTAAATATTGAAGTCATCCACCTAATGAACCGCATAATTTAAAAGACTCAAGTCAACATGTCTGCCCATTACCTTTGTACTTGTCATAATACTATTGCAATAATCACCATATTGTACTTAATGAATGTATTATTATTATTATTATTATTATTATTATTATATATATATATATATATATATATATATATATATATATATTTAAATTTTCATTGCTAAATGCTCCAAAACCACCTCAGGAAATTATGCGAGGCACGTCACTTTTGAAATCATGTCAATTATGACATTGTTTCTTTATTACTATGGTATTATTTTAATTGATTTTTTTATTACAAAAAATAAAATAAAATTTATAGATCATAATGGGAAGCAAGCCTGTTACAATAGTCATAAGCTACCACAAACTTCTTCATCATCTTCGTACTCACATCAAACCATTGCATGGATCCGTGAACCCAAAATTAACATTGAAATTGTAGCATTATTTATTGATAGATTTCAGCGTTGCATTATACTTAGGGGTCGTTTGGTTCAAGGAATGTCAGATTACCTTACAGCCTGTTTGGTTCGCTGAAAAATATTTGATGGGAAATGGAATTCAAATTCCATGGAAAACAAATTACCAGGAAAATAGATTCCATTGTTTGGTTAGTGGAAAATAAATTACTGGGAATATGAATTCCATTGTTTGGTTGAGTTTGGAATGGTAAGGAATTATGAATATAAAGACCAATATGCCCTTAACAATAATTTATACATGTGTAGTTAATAAATTTTGATGAGGGCAAAATAGTCTAATAGTACTATATTTTCTTCCCAACTCATTTGGAAAACAAAATACCAATGTTTAGGTAGGATTTTCTTTTCCTTCACCTTTGGGAAGTCAAATTCCCATGGAAAAGATTTTCCATCCAACCAAACAAGGTAAAACATCATTTTCCTACATTTCATGGAAAATCTTTTCCATGGAATTTGATTTCCATCCAACCAAACACCCCCTTAGGGAATGTTAGATTGCTGGGAATGTTAGATTACTGGGAATGTTAGATTCCTATGTTTGGTTAAAATTGAGGTATGTAATATAATCATGTTTGGTTTAGGGTTATCTTGTATACACATTATAATATCCTTAACATATTTTTATATATTTTAATAAATTTAAAAATTAAAATAAATAAATAAGATAACTATATCATATATAATTACATGATTTTAAAATATTAACTAAAATCTTGAACTTGAGAAACAAAATTATTTTATATGCTAACATAACATAATAAAAATAAAAATATATATAATTACAAAAATAATTATATATATATATATATATATATATATATATATATATATATATATATATAATAAACTAACATAACCAAGGTTATCTTACATTACCTAAGATTTTGAAGGGAATCACATTCCCTTCAAAATCCTATGTGGAGGGAATGTGACATTCCTGGGGAATGTTAGATTTCCTAAGATACTATGAACCAAACACGGGAATGTGAGTTTTGAAATGTCACATTCCCTTGGTTATGTTATATAACCTGAACCAAACGCCCCCTTACTTCTCAATAAATTACCCACTTTATGATTGCTGTAAGTCAAGCACGCTTAATCACAAAGTTCTTTAGTTATCTGATTACAGGTTACTACTTGTTTAATATGCAGGTTTAGTAGCTAAAGGGTAACTTGAACAAGTCACGAGTAGTGGAAGGCTTAGATAATACATAGGTAGGGCAGTAGGTAATGAACACTTATATTATCGCATTTATTGCGACGGAGCTTCATACATGACTCAAACTACTTCCCGTACTGAGCTCAAATAATTCTTGCATACTATTTAATTCTATCTTTTTTTCTTCAAGGAATAATATCCCTTTTTTCTTGAAAAAAAAAATAAAAAATCTCAAAAGTAAACTATTGGAGTGAGTTGATAATATTATATTATTTTATATGCTGCTTTAATACAGGATTGAACTTGTAATTTTATGGTCACTAAGTTAACAACTTAACAACTTGATTGGGGTTGCTCTCAAATCCCAATTACAAGTCATTACAAATTAGTTTTTGGTAGATTGAATTATATTATATTATATTATATTTAGAAAGTGATTTGTAATTGTAGAATGTAGAAAAAATACTGATGAATTAAAAGTGTGATGATATGATATTTATATTTTTAAAAGTTTTTGGGGGTGTTTGGTTGGATGTAGTTGCAATTCAATTACAACCTAATTCTTTGGTCACCGGAATTACAGTGTTTACCAAAATGCAATTAGGCCATTGAACTCAAAAAATATGCAATTAGGTACCTGAACAACACAAAATGATGCAATTGGGTCCCCGAACAACACAAAATGATGCAATTGAACCAAAAGTGACCTGTTTACATGTTAATATGCTGACGCGTAGGTTATCCTATTCAAATAATATTTTATTTTATTTTAATTATTTTAAATAATTAAATTAAATTCAAATAAAATAAAGGAGTGGGGGTGGGGCTTCTCTCCATGCTGGAGGAGATGAAGAACCGTCTTCATCTCCATGCCGGAGACGAAGAGGTCTTTTTGTCTCCTCCGGCATGGGGACAAAGAGGTCTCTTCGTGTCTTCCGGCATGGAGACAAAGCCTCCCCCTTTTTTGTTTTAAATTTAAAATTATTAAAATAAAAAAAATTATGATTTTAATAGGATAACCTACACATCAGCA